AATATTGATATTAATAGATTTTATTATTATAGAGTTGCATTTGGATTTAAAATTATTTTTCCACTCGCTTCTTCATTTCAGTCTCTGCTTTTTTATTCGTTCCAATTAATCCAATAATTCATTTAGTAATTCAAAGTTCTAATCAAAGGCACAAAATGATTAAAAATTCCTCGGTCATTCATTCGTGTTCCAATAATCCTGATTGAACATTTTGTAATGAATTTTTCAAATTACGTTGCAACCAATTAATGCTTCTTTCTATACGCGTTTCCTATTCACAAAATCTCGCAATTTCCATTCAGAGAATAACTAATATTATCAAAATATTATCATTCGCAATACTAACAATATACTTCACTACCGCTCCATTCGTTCGAACGATCAGTTTTCTCAGGACAAATAACAAACGTTATTATCGAAACACGTCGAAAACGTGCGTTTAGCCAGGGAGGAATTATTCGTTTTGCTTCTCTTCTGTTTAGTTAAATCGACGATATAGTTTAAACGCGCAAAATCACGAAAGAAATAAAAATTCCTCGTGTTTTTCAAGTTAACAGTCGTCTGTCCGACAACTGAATGTTCGAAACAATGTTTTCCCACAATTTATTCGGTTGATCGAAGATTTTCACAATTGGTTAAATAAATCTGATTTACCGCCGGACAATACGATTCATGTAATTAATCAAACATAGAATCGTGATTCATTGGAAATGAACGGACTAATGAAGGATGTAAATTAAACCTATTACGAGGGAAACGAGAATGTTTAGAAACAGGCACAAGTCATAATATGAATAATAACCTATCACGAATAGAGAAAAAAATTGCATTGATTTTAATGACACTAAAACAAGCATTCGTGAAATATATTTGAACCGTAATATACTCCAGTAGTATTAGAATTATCGATTACCAAACAACGGATTTTTATGCAGATCCATATTTCTGTAAAGATAGTTAAGAAAGAGTGGGATCTAGACAAACGTTCGATGCATCCATTTAATATTATAACATGCGTTGTATTCTGAATATATTTTATTTGATATATTCTCGCGTATTACATACATTTCAAATTTCCCACAAATGCATGAAAAATACAGTGCATGCCTCAAAATGAAGAGTGAAAATTGAAGTCAACGGTTTTGATCGATACCATTGTTAATCGTCAGGGATATTGATCAATAGTGAGGTACTTAAAGAACATATTTTCGAATTTATTCGTATATTTTAAATTCCAAGATATAATTTAAAAGCAAAAGTAATATTCGTAATTGTTATATTTCTCTGCACTTCAATTGCACGAGGATGTGTACGGCTTTTAACGGTTTCGGCAATATTTCAGAAATCGACTTTTGGCCAGTTTCTCAGGCCAAATGCTCCAACTGTGCGACGTCGTCGAATAGTTCACGACGATCCAATAGAACGCGGTAATCTTTACGATCGGCTGCCTCCTCAAGACTGAGAGACGCAGCAAGAAACAGAAGTATTATTTCGTTTTCTCTCGAAGAGAGCATTGTGCCCGGTGAAATTCTCCGTCTTTTGGCCAGAGCATATAGACAATCCGCCGAGATATCGAACTTCTTCCTATTTCGATCGACAGATAACGTCGCTCCATTGAAACCGAAGTCTCCGCGAAAGTAGAAAGCACAATAGAAAGATACAATGAGAATATCTCTTTATACCTTGACCTACGAGTCTGTCGAAATGTATTTTTCTTTCCGCGTGTTTCTCAAAAAGTAACTTTCGAAAGTAAAATATATATAGCAAACGAGGAGAGTCGTAGTTTTCAGTGAATGTGAGAGAGAAATGGAGAAGGAGAAAGAATTTCGCGTTAAAGTGATAACGAGCTGAACGAGCTGAACGAATTGTTTGTGCCAGTCAGAAAGAATCTGTTGGATTCGTCGAATTTATATTTTATTTATGAAATATATAATTGTCTTCTCGTTTTAATTTCATTCGAAATCGTATTGAGATTTTACCCGTTTCGATATTTACAACATGGAGTTCTCGAGAAATTGAAGATGAATGTAATGATTTTTTACTATTTGTGAACATCAAACTATTTGTGAATTACATTATTACATTGTTTGATATCCGAAATTTAACTTTAAATTCATATAAACGAACTGTTGTATAAGAAATATAATTACGTACATTAATTTATATAAATAAACGTACAAATGATTTATATAAATAAATTTTCACGATCAAGTTTGCGTACCGCTAATAATGCTGCGATGACGATCATTTATTTTGCTCCTGTTCTGACAGTAAGGAGAAATATAGCTAGTCAGCTTAATAAACTATACAATATTTCGCAATTTCACGTTTCATCACGTGATGGAATTAAAATGGGATTAAAAAATGAACATTCAGCATGCATGCACGTCACTGTGTACTGTACCATTTCCAAGGAAAATCATCGGCGAGAGATGTAGGATAATTTGTAAAACATTTGAAACAATATTGTGCCAGAAAAGAAGTTTAAAAATTAATTAAAGACGTTTGAATGAAAACCCAATAAAACAAAACACAAAAGCAAACACAATAAAAGCTTGCAATTAAATGTTTTATCGTCTATTCTTCATTGAGACAAAAATACACTGTACGTCAAATATTTAATCTTAATAACCAAAGATTTATTCAGAAGAGAAAAGAAATGGTTGTAGCCATTTAACTTAATTCAAAGTCTGGGAATAATTGATATAAATGAATTATTTGATATTTCTGATAATATAATGACAAATAACGAAGCAAATATTAAAAGCAGAAAATGAAATTGTAGAATTGTAGAGTACATGAATGAAATGCAGGGAAGTTTTCAATGCTTTTAAATGAAATACAGGGGAGTTTTAAATGAATCGTTAAACAGCGAGAATCTTTCAGCTCATTCACGTCGCTCGAGTATTATTATTAAAATTGCATAACAATCCCAAAACAGTGTGATCCGATATACCAACGATTATTCCGAGCAATTTTTCCGCATAAATATATTACAACCCTCTGAGGAGCAGCCAATTTGTTTGACTCTCGCGTCAGCCGGCAGAAACACAATTTCACGAGTATATTCCCGGTTCCTTTCGAGTTTCGAGCGCGTAGCGGAGTTTCCGCCGGGAGTGAGATCAAAGCCGATCTGTGTGTTCTATTTCTGAATGTTGTTCTATCGGTTTCCAAAGCGAGACGGTATGTTTCTAATAAGGTTCGATACTCGCTGCGCGACTCGCCAAGTGAAAACCCGGGACCAACTTTGCCGGCCGTGGAGCTTCTCTGTATTAGCCATTCACAGAAGGATGCAGGACCGTTGATGAAGAACAACGAGAAGCAATTTAAAACTGCGACGGAACTTTCGTCTCCCCCCCCCCC